TAACGTTTTTAATAAAACAATTATTCCACTCGCGCTTGTTGGATATGAGATGATTATAGCCAACTCGGCGCTACGCGCCTCGTTGGCTATCTATCATCTCATATCCAACGCGCGCTCGTGGAATAATTGTTAATTATTAAAAACTAGATCATTGGATAATGCAATTCAAGACTTTTTATTGGCTTAGCCATTATGGTATATCAGCCAATATACCATAATCTACAAATATGGCAAGCGTATGTGTCAGCTTAAAATTAAAAGGGAGCTAAAAATTTAATAATTTAATCTAACGTTTTTAATAAAACAATTATTCCACTCGCGCTTGTTGGATATGAGATGATTATATCCAACGAGGCGCATAGCGCCGAGTTGGCTATCTATCATCTCATATCTAACACACGCTCATGGAATAATTGTTAATTATAATTGTTATTACTATTACTATCATTACAGCAACTGTTCTTACCTTCAATCCATGAAATTAATTTCATGGATTAAATTAATGGATTAAAGTCGCACATCTTTCTAATCTAAGGCGCTTAATTTTTATGGAGTCAGGTGTTGTGAAAGGCGCAAATCAAGCTGTTTTTAAGAGACGCCATGGTTGTACATCAAATCACTTTCAATTTCAATGTTGATGTTGGTTCGGCTTTGTTTACACGCGTACTTTTCGCTCAGCTCCAAGTGAAAGCTATTTTCTTAGATAAAGCATTTACAACAAAGTTCTGACACATTTTTCAACAGTTTAAATTACATGTAATAACTTTAAAGAAAAAAAGATTTATTGTTTTGTAGAATTTTACAAATGAAAATTGTTGTTATCAGTTTTCTACAATAAATTGTACATATTCAATTTTCAAGTACTATCCCCAGAAGTTGATTTTCCTGATGTAATCTTTTTTTTAGTTTTGATTGGCAAATAATATATTATGATTATATATCATCATTAAAAAATCATAATAATTATTATTTTTGTCACTATTCTTACTACTATCATTATTAAAATTGTTATTATTACTATTTTTCTATATCATCATTGTTAATTACATTTTTATCATTACCCATATTTGCAGTAAGCAATGACAAGTGTATGTTGACTACATAATTATTTTAGGAAGTAAAATGTTTTCAAATAGAACTTCACATTATGGTACAGGTGTTAGTTCTGTGCACATGAAACAAATGACAAACTCACAGATACTTTTAGCTCAATTAAAACTGAAACATGTTTAATAATATTTACAATTGTCCATAATAACAAACTCACAAAACCAATATGTACCGGTAAATGGCACTATTTTGAAACACCTGAAAAAGTACTATTCTTTGAAAAGTAATTACATGTCATAACAATTTTCACCCTCTCCTTAAAACAACAGCAAAAATACTTTTTGTTCCTTTTCTCAAGTCCAAGCAACCTGTGCAACATTTTCAAGAAACAAGTGGTATCAAATTTTGTCACTAATCATTTATAAGTAATTAACACAATTAGATGTCTGCTAGGCAAGAGTCTGATTTGTTAATCACTAGTAAAAATACAAACAGAACTGGACAATATAAGGTTCTTTAACCACTTAACCAAAACTAAATTACAATTTGAAACAAAATACCCATCAATTCAGTTCATTGTTAAATGAAAACAAAACACTTGATTCATTCCATAATGACCCTGACATGTTTGAGAAATATATCTTATTAACCAAGTGTGAGGGCTGTATTGGGAGAATATCAGCCCGAGGTCTTGACAGTACAGACCGAGCGCAGCNNNCATTTAGGACCATTCGGGACAGTGCCCGGTCCAATACTGAGAGAATATTGACCGGCAATAGAGCATTTTGATTGGAAGATTTTAGTTATTGGCCCTCTGACTGCCTGAGTTGTGTAATAAATTCATTCAAATTATCAATTATTCCCTTCCATCCTGGTCAAAATACTCCTGAAGTCTCTTAGCTGCAGCAACTCCATCCAGTCCCGTATGTTGAGAAACAAGAATTTCAAGCTGCTTTCTAAGACCATTTGTTCTGAAATAAAATATAATCATGTTTTGCAAAGTAACTTGAAATCAATTTGGATGCTCATGACAAGTAAAAAAAATGCTAAAGGAAAAAAAATCAGTGAAAAAAAAATATGTTAGCATGGTGCAAGGAACTCTTGGAGTGATGTAGATGTGCTGTGGGAGCTCCATGAGTAAGGCACCCAAAAAATAGTAGTACCTCACTCATGGAGCTCTTGCAGTGTATCAACCTCACTTCAAGAGTTTCCCCCTGCACCCTAACATCTTTCTTTTTTTTTTTTTTCACTTATTTTTTTCTACTTGCGTTATGGACTTTGCTGAAAAGGAGGGACTGCTTGTAGTTTAGTTCAGCATACCTACCTTGCTCTCTCTCTCACTTCAGCATAAATCTGTTGGTTTCGTCGACTTGACTCTTCAGCATGAGCCTTGTATTTGCCGTGACGTGAACTGAAGGGCAAATGCAACATATAGCTCAGAGTTAAAACTCAAGGTAGCTTTCCTTCATGCTAACGACAGTGATAAGTGACTCTCTTAAACATTCTTGTCCTGCAAAAATAGTTACTGGCAATCTTGAAAAAGCATGAAGAGGACAAATTTTGGTTACCTTATAATAAAGTACTCCACTGCACCTCCTATTAGCATAAAGGCCAGTGCACCAAGAACAATCTTCCTATTGGAAGTTTGTCTCCTAGAAGAGTTGGTAGCCTGGTACACAAAGTCAAAATCTCTTGTTTGTCTGGAGATAAAAACAAAATTTATATTATTACATCACACACAGCGCTTGTGGGCAAGATGAAGGGAATCCTGTGTTCTGATTGGCTACCCGAGCAGGCAAGATGGGCCCATTTTGCCCGTTCAGGATTACCCGCATTGCTCCCGTGCATGAAAAAAATAGAATTAGAACTTCCTCTGTAATTTTTGGACAATTTTGGCGATGGAAACGCAAAAAGTGGCAGAAGATAGTCAAAACAAAGAAAACAGAAACAACTCTCATGAGTTTGCTTTCTTTGCTTACAGTTGGCTTTCTTTTCCAGCTCTCATTGTAAACAAGTTAAATTCTTAATTTGTAATAAGGTGAAATATTTTTGCAATATAATAAGTACTTTATTAACCAAGCCTGTTCAGTCAAGATGGCTGGATATTAGCCTCGTTCTTTTTTCAATTTCATCTCAGTCCATAAAAATGCAAAAAAAGAACTTGGCCAATATCCAGCCATCTTGACCTCACAGTTGGTTAATAATACACATATACAATTAAACTAAAATGCTTTGCGCAACTTGCATGGGATTTGCACCTGAAAATATTGTTACCTTTGCAGAAAGGAAGGAGCAATCTTTTGTGTTATATTATCTCACTGTTTTAGTTAATACTAAAACAATTATTGACCACAGTGTTGGTGGTTAACGGTGGATTTTTACCTTGCTGCCATTAGCCACCTTCACTTGGTGAATAGTTGTTAACTAAGTGTACACATGTAAATGTTTTGGACACTGCAAAAACTGTAATTTTTGAAATTTACTGTGTGCCTTGGAACTTTTTAAAATAAGAAATAATTGTGAAGTGTGATTAAGTCTAGGAAAATGAACCAATCAGGCCTTAAAAATCTGGTACTGTATGCAGTAAAGTTAATAAGCTTCCTGTTCTGACGATTTGCATTTTGTCCTGATCACGAAATTGAGATAAATCATGACCACTCTAAACATTTTTCAGAACTTTAATTATCAAAGATTAATAATTGCTATGAAAAATGGTACATCAAGCAGCCAATAGAGAAAATTATTATCCAATTACACCTAGACAAGTACAAATAACGCCACAGACGAGTACAAATATCACATGGTATTTGTACTCTTCTATTGTAGAGTACCGGTTAAACAGGTTTTCTCGCATCGTGCAAGCGAAGAATTGGATTATAGTTAAAAGAAAAAAAAAGAACAAATGGCGGACAATTTGAATCATATTTCCAATGACGAAGAGTCAGAATGGCTGGCAAATATAGATCCAAGTTCATTAAATGAAAAGAACGAAGAAAAACAGCTTGATCTGGTCTTTTCAAGACCAGAAAATTTCTTCATTTAATGAAGAAAATAGAAACAGCAACACAATACACCAATTCCGTTCTGCTTCGCATACTTCTGTCACGCACTCCCCGTAAATAAATATCCGCGAAATTCGCCCGCACTGAAATAACAGTTTGGCATGTTGGATAATAAATAACTTATTAGACGTTTTGTTATGTAGTATCACTGAATATTTTTACTCGTTAATTGTATTTTTACTTGCCCTACGGGCTTGTCAAAATACAGCACAACTCGTAAAAATACTCAGCAATACCACACATCAAAACATCTAATAAGATATATATATTTAATTGCCAACTTGCAAAGTTCAAACATAAATCATTGACATTGAAAATAAGTCATTAAAATAAAAGATCCTTTACATATGATAATGTCAATTGTAATAAGCGTGAAATTACCTGTAATTGGACTGACTTGTGGCTCTGTCGTAATAATATTGTTGAGTCGATTGCCTGGTGGGGATGGACGAAATTCAAGAAGTCAATTCCACAAAACTTAAGTTGGCATGATTAAAATTCAATTTACAGTGTAACATGATTGGGAAACTCTTACTAGTAATTAATATACAGTTGATTTCAAATGAACAATAAGATTTTAACTGCTGACAATTCTTTGCATCCAATCAATTTATAGAATATTAGTGGAAGATACATACAACACTACTTTTCTAAAAAAAAACATTTTACTTCCAGTTGGATTTAAAAATTCAAAATTGGACTCTGACCGGTGGGGTGGTACTGGACCAAATGGGCTTCCTGCTGGGGGCCTGGTAACTGATGGGGCTTTTAGTCTTAGATCATATTCACGCCGTTGGCTTGCATTGCTTAATACACCATACGCATTGTTGATCTACAGTGGAAAAATATCAGATGTTCAAAATTAAATTAGATGAGGTTTTACATAAAAGTCTTCTGGTTAAGCTTGTCAAGCTTGTTTCTTGAAAGTCCTACAGTATTAACCAATTGTAGGCCTAAAAACCACACTGCATCTCTGCATTTAAATCTTGGTAGTCCGAGGGTGGCTCATAATTTAATATTCCCCCCAGAGTTTAACAAAGTGTTCCCGGCAGTTTCCCATACCCATTTGTATTCCTCACTGAGTGGAGGAGACCTCCGTGAGACTTACATGTCATGTTTTACGCAAGAACACAAGACAACAATCTACGCACCAGATTTCACTTCTCTGATCCGTAATGGTTGGGTTTGATCAGGAAGAACTCAAACTGTACCTAACTTAGAGTCTATAAGCTAGACAAGATTTACCTGCACAAATCTTTCGTGGAGTTCTGGCTTATTTGGATTTTTGTCTGGATGCGACTGATATAGAAAAAAAAAATCAGTAAATGTGTTGCACATGTACACAAGTCAGTTTACTTATTAAAAAATCCATAAATCAAAATGAACCGCTCTGTGTGAAATGTAGCACTGACTGAACATATCATCATCTGTATAGTAAGAGTAGCAAAGGGGAGGCCCTGATCCCATTTAATGCATTAATTTTAGAAGAATTAATGCATCACATAAGTACAAGGACAACTTTAAATCTTTCCTCTTGCATACCAGGTTTCAGGGAAATGTTAAGGTTCTTTGTAATATGAAAGAAAACATTCTCGGGTCACTTATATTTCAGGAGGCAAATCTGGTTAAATCAATTACTACTGACAGTAACTGTTCAATGACCTAGACAGTTCCATTATAGTCATACCTCTTTAGATTTTGAGATGAAAGCATCTCTTATTTCTCCCAGTGTGGCCTTTTCTGACACACCAAGGACATCATACAGGGTTGGTTTTCCTGATGACCTTGAAAGGACACAAGACTGCTGTCAGTGATAAGAATTGGTATAAATCTGCTTCCATGCAATAATAAATGCTGCAATTTAATTGCCTATGCAACTCACTTTCTCCTTCATCATGATAACAAGTGAGTTGGGTGGAGTGATCATGAGTAGCCAAACTATGCGTCATTGCAACAAAAATAAAATGAAAACACTTCTGTCTTCTTGTTAAGTTTTAAACAACGATTGGGTTTTTTACTACTCTGAGCCCACTTGTTTGAAGGCTGATTAGCGCTAACCTATTAAGGTTCAATTGAATCTGGGTTTCTTTATTCTTTCTGAAGAAGCCTTTTCAGGATAATTTTCTCTATCAATTTTAGAGCATCCAATCATCAAATTCTAGACAAGAAGGATGATACTGAATTTTCCTTAAGGCTCTCAGACCTGAGATCAGATTTCACACTAACCCTGGGTTATCTTAAGCCAACTTTGAACAACCTGGCTCTGAAGACCAAAAGGATAATTCACCTTTGATTTCTGTGCACTAGAGTCAATTATGGCTTCACCCCTAACAACTATCCACAAGATAAAAATCGCATACTTGTCATCTAATTGTCGGGTATTACTGACAAAAATAATTAATTTATCATAACTCATTACAATAATAATTATATAAGAAAACGTAACGGTGAAAGATCATTTCTAAAAAACTCTAGTCAATCCTGGGCTTGAAAGGATGCACACACCTTGGTTGACCCTTCCAAGTCAAACTATAATAATTGATGTTGTCCGAAGGCTCAAATCTGAAGAAATATTATTTACCTGGCTGGGCGTGAAGCAGCAGCTGAGTATGGGCAATTCAGGAAAACTTGAAAAGGGCGACATTGCTGTTCCTTTCTACACAGGAACATGATGTGAAGACAAGCTGTGATGAAAATCAACAATTCAGCAGTGAGTGCATGTCCTAAAACATAATTATCTGACAAAAATGTGATGATACAAAAAATAGTTTTTGGGAGTTGGGATCACTTAATCCTTTAACTCCCAAAAGGGATTAACATGAAATTTCTTACTGTAATATCCATACATTAAACAGTAAACAGGTAATGAGAATACTCAAACGTATCAGGTAAAAGTTGTTATGCTGATCTAACACCAAATTAATTCTCATGACTAATTTACAAGGAAATGTGTCGCAGTCAGAGGGGAGAATTAATTCATCTCTTAGGAGTGGCCCTTTATCCTAAAGTTATGTCCCCGATTGACAAGTTTCCTTTGATTTCTCTCTAGCATTTTCCTCTTCAAAGATGCATGTATATATCGAACCTGCTAATATTATTGCAAAACGTTGTTTAATTTCTCGATAGAACCCAAACACTCTGGTTTTCTTAGTTTTCTTTTATTCTAAGATTCGATGCTACAAAGACCCACACCTGCACCAAGATACCTGAGTTGTTTTTCAATTGATCTTTTGTCATTCATGGATCGTGAAATAAAGGTTGACATATTATAATATAATTTTTGCGTTACATAAGCCAAACTTAACTTAGTTAGAAAACAGCTTTCCCTGTTTCCTAATCCGTTTAAACTCTGTATATAAATACAGTTTCTGTTTAAAAATACCTCTGTAATCGCTTTAGAGAGCCTGAGTAACCCTTCTACCGCACAGAGTTGTCGAAAGCAGACATATGCATTTTAGTTCAAATGAACTCTCTTGTCCGCCATCTTGGCCGACAATACAAATATCTCCTCCCTACCCCTGACAATCCAATAGCGTCATCTTGTGAACGTCATCACCTTACATTACTCATGCGTCGGACTGAAAAGCAGTTGTTCGAAGAAAACATGGCGGCAACCAAGAGATATTTTGGGATTTTCCTTGAGTTATTTTTCCTTCTTTCTGTTTGCTGTCTCCCTGAACCTGGTAAAAAGGTATTAAAATTTAATAAGGTAAGCGACAGTTGACTTACTTGGCTACAATCTGTATTTTATTTCTCATTGTAAAAAGCTGTTTTTTCGTATTCTACATTCAGAAGCTGATATTCGCAAATTGACTCACTGAAGTCTTCTTGTTTTCTTTATTTCCAGGAACATCCGCATGGTGGTTTTCCTAAAACAATGAACAAGGGTTATACTATCGCAATGAAAGGTTTGGTTGCAAGCTTACGCTAGTTTCATTAAAGCGAGCGATCGATCGATCGATATAATTTGTTGTCAGTACTGCAGTAGGCTGTTTTTGCAAAATCAGCTTTATTTTAAGGCAATGTTAAAAAGTGTTTTCAGAGACCATCTTTGTAATGATATCTCTGTCATAATCGAAATCATCATTGGTATATTTTTATCAGATTCTTTACTGTTATAATTTTGGTTGAATTGTTTTTGGATAATGTAAATGCATGTTATTTAAAATTCAGAAAAGGTTATGCAAAATAAATAAATGAATAGTACAAAAAATCATAACTTATAAACCCGTACTGTTTATATCTAAATTGAATTTCTTACCTCTAGAAGCCATAATTTTCTTGGAAATAATTTTAAAGATCTTGATGTTTCACCCAGATAACTTTTTTCAGCATTTAAATCAGTACTCAATTTTAATTTCTGTTTCGTTTCATGAAGGGCAATGTTCAGGTTATAATGGGACAATCCACATTAAATGGCGTTTAGCAGTTTCACAGTGTGCAGAGTGGTTTTCCTCTTTGAAGGTATGTCTTGAATGTTCTCTGTTTTTGTTTTCTCTTTAAAATTTCCTGAAATTTTACCAATTTTTGGATAATAATCAGCTTCCAAATTGTTTTATCCCTTTAACTTACCAGGACAGAATTCCTTCCTGCATTGTCCATTCAATATCAAGCAAACAAGTGATGAGATTAAAAAAATAATACAAATTAGGAGATCAACAAATTGATCTAATACCTAATTCTCAGAAGTAAAAATTAGAAGAATTGTAAGGCCAACAGTAAAGAGAATTGGTAATCATATCTTGGGAATGAAAGGGCAAAGACTTTTATTAGCTTTGCATGAGTTCTGCTAGATTATAACAAATTCATGATTTTGATCAAATTGGTACAAATTAATTTTATGTTTTATTAGGATGACATGCTTTCATTGATATATTATATTGTTGACAAGAAGGAATGAAGTCCCAGAATGTTGTGATTCTGTTTGTGCGGGTATAATTATGGGTGTTAAACCTTCACTCCAGGGCTGTGGTCTAGCAGTGCCTGGTGGCCCCTGGCACCTTACTTTTGTTCTTGGGCGACTTGGGAATTTTAGTTTCTTTATATAAAAACATATGCTGGGCACACTGTATTTCAAAGTTTCAGAGCACTGGGCTCCTTTCACTTTTCTTAGAGCACAGCCTTGCACTCCCATGAGTGACCAAGACAGAACTTCTCCTAAGAATTTCAATACAATATCGAGTAGACAAGTGTGTAGTCGGAATCCACAAAACAAGATATTCGCACTTTTACTAGCGATTCGCTAAAGGCAAATGTACATAAATGAGTTAAATATACAGTATAGGAAAGCGAAATGAAATACAAATAAAACAGGCTAAATGATGGACAAAATAACGAAACTTACATGATTATGTGGCGACTACGACGACTAAAACATAATGACAACGGCGACAACAAAACTATGGTAGAAGAAGCTATGCCAAACAACAGAAACAATGCATAAAAAATTAACACGAAAATATGAAATGCGACATAACCAAAAATGACTGGCGAACCTAGTAAAATAATTACCATTACTGATTGGTTATGCGGGTGGGCAAGATGGGCCCATCTTGCCCGCTCAGGTTTGCTCATGCATGAAAAAAATTGAATCAGAACTATCTTTGAAATTCATGGACAATTTTGGTAATGGAAATGCAAAGTGGCAGAAGATAGTCAAAACAAAGAAAACAGAAAAGACTCTTGCAAGTTTTTTATTCTACAAACACAGTTGGCTTTCTTTCGTGGCTCTTGATGTAAACAAGTCATTCTTAATAAAGTGAAATCTTTTCACAATAGAATAAATCCTTTATTAAACAAGCTTGTTCGGTCAAGATGGCTGGATATTAACCTCGTCCTTTTTTTACATTTTTATGGACCTCGACTTCGTCTCAGGCCATAAAAATGCAAAAAATAACTCGGCCAATATCCAGCCATCTTGACCTCACGCTTGGTTAATAATGCATATTTATTAATGAGATCTTGTGAGTGAAAGGGTGAAAATACTTTTCATTATTTTTTCTTCAGGATAATAGTGATAAATCAGATGTGAACCAAGTCAGTTCTGTTTTCTCTCCATCTTTGGCCAATCACTCACTGAATTGGGAAGGTGATATGGATTGTAAAACTGTATTACACTTTCCGGTTTGTATATGTTTTCCTTAACTTTGTTTGTTTGTTTTTGTTTTTTTTTTATCTGCTTTACAGTATTTCCTCGAATAGGCTACAATGTCAAAGAAGTGCCCTTCATGAATAAGTGCCCTCTCTCCCACCTTGCTTTCTTAAATAGTAGGGATATCAGAAACAACAGTTTCTATTGCCACTTAATTTATAACTTTTTAAGCCTCAACTTCTGCAGAAACAATATGGAAGAATGATAAGCACCCCACTCAATGAAGAGCCCTGCTTGAGCACCCCTGCTTATAGCCTAAATTTAAATTTGTGCCCATGTGCTCTTTTGAGGAAATACTGTTACAATATTGCTTGTTTGATTTATTTAAATATTGTTTCTTGACTTTATTCATAAAACTTCTGATGTGATTGAGAAACTTAGCACATTTTGGAGTGGTCTTCTTTAAAACAACTGCGATAAATCACCAAAATTTGTATGATGTAAGGAAGAAACCTGTAAGAGAAATGGTATATGTTTCTATTTGAAACTTGTCACAGCTGACTCTTGTTTTGCCAATAGAGAGATATGGTGCCCAGGGGTTTCATTAATGTTTTCTGCAGGAGGGCAACTGGTTTTCACAGGCAGGCAAAACTCTTTGAACTGAACTTCTTTATAAGATAAACTTTCCTCCAGACCATCAAATCAGGTGGGCAAAACCGTCTTCTCAACTGGTCAATTTGCCCGGTGCCTGGCCCTTAATGAAACCCCTGAGTGCCATCAGACAGGCCAGACATGCCAGCTTCACGTAAAATTGTGGAGAAATGTATACACGGAAATTCATTTTTGGAATAGTTTTCTTTGCCATCACTGTCCTGATTGGTTTAAGTCCCTGTTACTGTATTTACTGAAGGAGAGGTGGATGTAGTCTGAAAAAAATACATTTTGCATTTATTGGACAAAGCTTCTCAGCTGTGGGTGTGAAGGATGTTAGAGGCTGATGTAAACTGCCCAGCACTACGCTGAAACTAAGATCTGTTTATCATGGCGTACGACTTTTATAGCTGTGTTGGTTTTTTATATGTAGGACATAACCAATAAGGTAAAGGAGCTGATTACATCTAGGCCTCCACCTACAGAAAGCAATGTAAGTAATTCTTACCGTAACTCAAGGCATTTGTGTAATAATAATAATACCCTTTCTTTTAAGAGGGTGACACCAATTACTTTGAAAAGTATTCTCCCTAGTGGCCCTCTAAAACACCCACCCCCTCCCCCCCAGGGGAGGACATCTATCGCACAGTAATCTCGTGTGTGGGAAATTAACTTCTCCAGCCCCAACCCTGCAAGAGACTGGACCTCCGTTTATTCGTCCCTATCCGAGAAGACTAGAATATCTAATCATTTCTTGATGTTATAGAAAGGTAGCAAATTCTTCTCAATTATTTTAAGACCCTGAGTGTTGGTCCGGCCGGGGCTCGAACCCTCGACCTCCAGCACAACAGTCCAGTGCTCTATCCATTAAGCTAACCAGGAGGCAGTGTAGAACAAAATTTAATCAGTGTACCCCAGATCTATGGGGATATGTTATTCATGGAAGACACCAAAACGAAACAGAACTAGGAAGTTCTCTTTCTTTGTAACTTTACTTACTGGTGTAGTCTCAAACACTAAAATAAAAACCTTGTCACACTTGTTCAATAAACTTGGGTCAAAATCTGTAGAGAGTAATAGAAAATTAGGAAGGTTTCAATATCAGTATCATTTCCTTTAATCTCATTATCATTTTCATTGCAATTATTATTTTTATTATCACAAATGATAAAAGGAATTTAGCCATAGGAATGTTTCAATGATTTTGTAAGAAAACATTACAAGATATGTGTATGTCATGTAATGGTTTTAAACAACTGTTACAGTAGTTGTAGTAACTACAATGAGTGAACTTCAACCAAAGGGACCCTTTAACTCCTGGAGGTGATTTGCAAGTAACATCTTTCAGTGATACCCATACATTAGGACTGTGGTCTAGCAGTGCCCAGTGGCCCCTGGTGCCTTAATTTTGCTTTTGGGTGACTTAAGAATCTTAATTTTTTTCATAAAAAAAAACATTTGCTGGGTACCCTGAATTTCACAGTTTCAGAGCACTGGGCTCCCTCTAATTTTTCTTAGAGCACAGCCTTGTACATTACCCAGCAGACAAATAGTGAGAATTATCAAACTACATAATATATTCAGGTAGTTAACGTGATCTAACATCAAGTTCTCCGAACTTATTTACAAGGAAATGTGTCTCAGCTGGATGGGTGAATTTACAATCAGATCTTGACGGTTAAAGTGTTAAATATGATGTACTTATTGTGTATATTTATTTTCATTCATTTGTGAATAGAAAGAGGAAAAGAAAACAGAGAATGAAGATGAAAAGAAAACCAATGTGGTAAATACAATCGGTAGACATTATTTTTTTCACGTATGTTGTGCACATTATTCTCATGATCCTAATATGATTCAGCAGTATTACTGTAAGTAATTCTCCTACCTAATATACAAAGAAATGTATATCAGCTGAATAGGAGAATTTATAATCAAATCTAGGTAGTTAAAGGGTGGAAGGTGATGCACTTGTTATGTACGTTTATTTTCATGCATTTGTTGACAGAAACAGAGACAGAAAACAGAGAATCAAGAGGGAAAGAACACTGATGCAGTAAGTACAACTGGTAGACATTTTTTTCGTGTACATTGTGCACTAAATGATTGGGCAGTATTTCTGTAAGTAGAAATAAGATCAGAGCTCGACATTAACTTTTCAACTTACTAGCCAAGTGGCTAGTGACAACTTGGATGTTACAACCAAACTGGTTAGTGGAAATTGAAAACCACCAGCCAAAACTGAATTTCTGCTGGTCTGTGGCTTGTTGGCTACTGTTAGTGTGGAGCCCTGAAGATGTTGTTAGTGTGGAGCCCTGAAGATGCTGGTCACTTTAAAGGTTTGAAGAGTTAACTGCTGGCTGAAGTGGCAATAATAAGTGAACCTCAATTTAAGAAGTTGACATAAAGGAATTTACTTGCATAGTGTCTCATGCAGGCTGGAGTTTTGTTAATATCTTGTACTTCAAAGTAATGTTAACAATCTTTTTTACAATAACTGTCCTGCAAGCTCATTGGTTGAGAGCTATTGTCTATTATGACATATCATGTAATGCAATGCTGAGGAATCCTTTGCCATATTGAAGAAAAAATTAATTTCATGACAACCCTTGCAAATTTCTGAAAAATGGAAAGTAATAATCTTCCCGAGTGTGAACACTACCTAGTGAAACTACTTGGCTACTCCTTGTGGTTTCATTTTAGTTTCGAACATTGATGATGTCAGTAAGTAGATAGAGTTAACTTCCAATTGAGTGCCTGAAGTAATCCAAGATTGCAATGGTTTTACTTTACTTCACCAGAGATTGGGAAGGCAAAATAGGCAGATGGGCCAATGGCCCCTGGCTTTAAAAAGTTATGGGCCAATTCTAAAATTTATGGGCCATTGCAGTCATGGGGTGGGCTAGAAGAAGAGAAGCAAGGGTATTTTTGTTGGTGAGGTCACTTTTGATAGCGCATCAGTTCCACAGTATCTTGCAACTTATATTGTGACGAAATAGTTCAATTCAGGTCTTACTTGATTAAACAAAAAAACTCAACACTGTCCACTTAAGTTGAAAAGAAATTGCTGCACTATGCAGTGTCATCTTATTAAAAAATTAAGAACATGGTCATATACTTACTCTGTCAAGACAATCTTGTTTCTTCAACTGTGAACTGGTGATTGTACATGCGATCACTGTGGGATTATTTTGTATTTCAGTCCACTTTTGGATTCTTACAGAAAAGCTAAAAATGTGCATGTGATGGAAAAAGATTGCAAAGTGGATAATTCATGCATCATCCACTTAAACAATGGCCCAGTCAGTTAATTAATGTACTTTAGGCAGATTTCATAGTTCTGTGTTAATCATTTGCTCTTCTTGTGTGAAGTATTTTAAGGGAAAGTCACTGGTTCATCATTTCTAGTTGTTGAAGGGTTACAATCAATCCATTTATTATGTGAGCAGACATAAAAGGAATTGTCAGTGGTTATCTCTATGAGGACGCTCCCTACATAAAATATAAATTTTGTATACTACAATGTAAAATTTAAGAATCATCAAGAATTGGTTTAAAAAAAATTTTAAAAAATTACAAAATTTTACAATACTCTCTAAGTTTACCATGAAAAATCCTGTTTGTGCACTATCTCTTAGGAAGAGCATCCCACTGTTTTATAATTCTAACAAAGAATGAGTGCAAAAAAGCAATTTATTCTAGCTAAAGGCTGTCTTAATTTACACGAATGGTTTGATCTTGTTTTACCATAACAATTAAATTCAAAATCATAATCATTACAGTTGAGGCCATTAAGACCATGAATAGTCTTGTAGCACTCCAGGAAAGATAGATAAGACCTCCTTGATTGAAGACTGGACCACCAAAGCATTGCCAGTCTTTCTTCGTACACTTGCTGGAGTAGCCATATTAAGCTCATTTCATTGCATGATTAATTAAAAGCAATAAAATGTTATCATTGTTATTCATTTTTTTTTTTAACAGAAAGGCAAGGAGACAAAAAAACCAAAAGGAGAGGGGCAAACTAACCCTGAGGTGGTGCAATAATTGTGACCTAGTTTCTGACATGCATTGTGCTATTGTTAGTAACTCCTACTTTGAAATAATGCTATCTTTCTTAAAAAATAACCAGATGTTATATTTTGCTTCCCCCGTTAGGCTAAGCCTCCAAGAGAGCCAAACAGTGATCAGAAGGGAAAACAGAATGCTCAGAACACTCTTACACGAAGAAAGAGAGAAGCTGTAAGACAATTGTAGCTGTGCGCTTTTACCCTCTGACTCGGCTATGAGTCACCAGCATCTAATTTCTCCTTACAATATCACCCCTAAATCAAACGTTAAGGTACCGAGAATAAAGGAAATAATCACCAGTTGAAGAAGCTCTTGATTGTCAAACGAGTTCTCTTGGCAGCACCTCAGGAAATGTATAGAGAACAGTATGGAGAATATGCATACCGATGTTAGGGTGTGAAGGTGTAATGCAGAGGAGTGATCCCTTAGTGAATTTTCCTAAAGGTATCTATGCATTGTCGAGCAAGAAACATGATATGAATGTTGAAAGATATAAACTAAGGAACCACTCTGCTTTAACACCAAATTCTTCCATGAAATTGTATGAAATTCAAATTAAGGCAGAAAGTAAGGGGGAATTTGTTTTGAATTCTTAAGAGTGAAAGTGTGAAATAGTGTAGCTGAGTAAAGGTGGAGGTGGACTGTACAACGATTTTGGAACTTACATGTAACCCTTGACACCGAAGCCTCAGTAGGTGTTTATATTCCATACTGTTCTCTACATGTATGTTGTAGTTCAATTTTATCCTTGGTTCAAATTTTATTTTCTTTTGTTTCAAACTCATTATCATACATTAACATGACCGAGAACAAAGGAAAATAAAATTTGAACCAAGGATAAAATGAAACTACAACATACACATTTCTTAAGATGCTGACAAAGAGAATTTGTTTTACAAGGAAGAGCTTTTTTAGTTGGTGATCATTTTCTTTATTCTTGTGTTACCGCCACATGGCTATATTTTGTTTCTTTTGTTTGTTTCTTGTTTGTACGCGCATTTTTCTTCTCTTGTTATCGCATTGTTTGTGTTGTTTTTTTCTCGCTTTTACGTAATCAATATTCTGTTAGGTGTTTTCGCATAATTTCTTCTCGTGAAGGCCCTTTTGCATGCGTCTCTTTTCAGTTGACTTGTGTTTTTCCATCGCTACGTTTCATTTTATCCAGTTCGCTTACCATCTCCATTTTTGATTTTCGTGTTCCTAGCCATCCTAGTCATACAACGTTGCTACCGCTTGCTTTGCATCGCTTTTTGCTTATATCATACATTTCATGAAATCAATTGAACGACATGTAGCGCATTGGACGTTTGACTACAATATCTTGTGACTTCAATGTTTAATTCAATGGTGATACTTAAGGAGAAATGAGATGCTAGTCACACTGAAGAGTCCAAGAGTTGATAAGAAAACACACTCACAGGCTGTAGGTACAATACTCATGGTCTTTAAATAAGTGAGGAGAATTTGCTGCCTTTCTATAATCAAGAAATGGATAGATATTCTAGTCTTCTCGGATAAGGACGAATAAACCGTAGGCCCCGTCTCCTGCAGGGTTAGGGGTAGGAGACATTAATTTCCCATGCACGAGATTACTGTGTCGTGGATGTCCTCCCCTGGGTTGGGATGGTTGGGAATTGGTCCTAAAAAGCCCACATGGGAAGTGGTCAACTAACCTATGTAACCTACACCTTTATGTGAGACGATTACAGCAGTTCTTAATGGATTTTCTTTTGTTCTCAAGGTTAAACCAGGGTCAGATAAAGAGACAAAAGTGACAGAGGTGAGCTTTATACCTTACATTAGGTGCCCCATCATCATGCACGCTCCCATCATTGAATAGGAGGGAGTTTAAGATGTCACTACAGTGATGTATGGTAAAATGTTGCCAAAAAATGTAATTTATTTTCCTCTAAGATTTTTTCCAGTAGCTTGATGTGTTAACTGTTTCTGACAATACATCTTTAACTTTGACTTTAACTTTATTGAATTTGTTACAAGTACAAAATAGTATCAGCTTGTGAATGTAGTGTTGAGTTCAAAGTAAAATGTGACTAAAGTGCTGTTGAGGTTTCCTTGCTAAGAGCGCATAAAAATTGGAGATTACACATTTCTGATCTGTATGGGACAGCTAAGAAATATACAAAGTTTTAAAATGCATGTGTTTTGCTTCAAGTTATGTTTTGCTCTTTGTATCATTTTCTGTTCCAGTATCTTCTTGTTGCCCTTGCTGTCATGGTTTTCTTTTAGTCCCTATTCGTGTCATACACTGTAAACTATGAAAATTACTAATTTTGTAATCAAACAAATTGATATTGGACAGTTCAATAAGCCAAGTACAATTTTAAGTTGTAGTTTAAATCAACCAATCACAACCTTGGTTTCTTTTAAGGCAAATTTTCCCTTTCTCTTATAACTCAGCTATTCTTCTTTTCTTGGAAGTTGTAATTGTTATGATTGGTTGGAAAGAAGACTTTGTGTCATCCAATTCAGTGTGTAATTACACTCGTGATAAACAAATCGGACTCCTGCGGCAAGTTGTCCAAGTTTGTATTCACTCATGTGATTACAGACGGAATTGGACTCCACTGAGTCCTAGGACGCAAGATGGCCCCTGGTGCCTTACTTTTTCTCTTGGGCAGCTCACGAATCTTAGTTTTTTCATAAAAAAAACATGCTGGGCACTCTGGATTTCACAGTTTCAGAGCACTGGGCTCCTTTCAATTTTCCTCAGAGCACAGCCTTGTTACCATTACCTAGCTGTAGATTATAATTATAAAAAATCTTCTTATCATTTGATGTTGTCATTATTTTGTTGATGATTTGTAGAAAAGTCCTAAAACAACTGAAAAGACCAAGATGAAAACTAAAGACAAGGTGAATATCAAGTCATTTTTTTTTTAATCTTGAATATGCAATCCTTCCTTTTCTGATCACAAATGAAGAGAAAAAACTCCTTTTCCTAGGATCTATGGAATTGATTTTAAATGTTGATATCCATTGTGATTAATTTTAATATGATAGTGTAGTCTGATCATCTGGGTGAGTGTATGCCTGGGAATGACTGTGGTAGCAACCAGCATTGATATAACCTGAGCCCAGAGGTCATTAGGGAGATTTAACACTGCATTTACGTGACATGATGAACATCAGCTTGCCCTTTCACATTTCATGAAAAATAGTGTGAACCTTGTTGCTTTAGCTTCGTGTGAGCTCACTTCATGGCCGATTTGAAGACACCTTGTATGATTTACAAGGAATAGTTTTGGTACCCTTTTTCAGGCAAGTAACTTCTACCCCTTGAAAGAAAAAGTGAAGGAAAACTTACATACATGGCAAATGCAAAACATGTTACTTTTACATAGAAACGGCAAAGCGCAACCTGACAGAGCTGAATAACCTATACGCATGCACAAGGTTTTGCCGCCGAAACATGCATTTTGAGTCGTTCGCATGGTTAATTTCTTATTCTGTTGCTTCGAGGCTTCGTTTTCGTTGCCGCTTTTCTTTTACAGAACAACCTCCAAAAACTTGGTACACCCCCTAAAAATTTTCAACTATTAATTTTTTCCTTAAAACCTCTGGAAAGAGGAACATGCCTTTGACGAAAACAGAGTGTCTCGGTTTTAAAAGTCAGCCCTTGTTATTTTCCGCTAATTTCGCTAAATTTTAGACCAGGGACACTTGAGCCCGCATTGTTGACCACATACCCTCTGACGTAGCTGTTCATTATTCAGCTCTGTCGTGCAACCCACAAACGCGAAAAAATGGCAGGAAAAACAAGGTCACATGGTCACTCTTTCCATTCACGATGTTGACTTTTGTTGACTTTTTTCGTTTGTAACAGGTTGCGAACCAAATTTGTAAAACAAAACATGATGGGGTCTTTATACTAGCCATTGAGGCTACAGCAAAGGGGGAAAACAACTTTGATCTACATTGTAAGTAAAAAGAAAATCATCTGCTAGAGTGTATTCATGTATCGTTGTTATTTATTTAAGAAATAGATTTCATGTTCTTTTGCATTATACTTTGCTGATGACAACCAATTCCCTGCCTCTCACAGTGGATGTTGACATGAAAGGGAAGAATGGTTATCTGTCTGCTTCCGATTGGCCTCTATATCCTGTAAGTGAAAAGGATGTGTTTACTTTGACATGGTTTATTCTACATGTTTCTGTGCACACAATTACACCTTATGATGTGGTCACTTAGGATGTGAATGGCAACATTTCGACTACATACTGCAAGTCTTTATCAGGCGAACCAAAACCAGTCAACCTTATGTAGTCGAAATGTTGGGATTCACACCAAAAGTGACCACATTGTGAGAGAAACAATAATACTTCATTATACTTGTACTTTACCACAATGAACAAGCACAACCTTTTTTTTTTATGAAATTACATGCCCACCTTGCCATTAAAAATACAGCCAAGTAGAATGTCAGAAATTGATGCTCATTCTGTGCTTGGCAATGGGTGGCATGCAGCATGTCATTGTTCTTGACAATGATGGCTACCTTGGATGTTCCCTCAAAAAGCCACGCAAGTGGTTTATGTTGGGTCTGGGTCAGGGAACTCAGTTGAAATCAGGCTGAGTTTGAATGGGCAGCTGTTAAAGTTCAGCAAATCCAAAGTGATTTTAAGAAATTGATGGATTCCTAAAACTTAGTATCTGAAGAAAATGTGTTGATTTACAATTCTCGATCTCTTTGAAGAACTCGTGGACTATTTTTGCCAATTTTTAACAACTTGGGATTGGTGTAAGGCACATGGCAAAGACTGCAAAACTGTTTCATACTCAGCTTCAATAGTTCTTTGTAATTCTACACAGAGCAATTGTCAACAGCAATACGTGTAGTGATGCATTCATAGAGCGCAATGAAAGGCAAATTGATGGAAAGTGTCTTTCTCTTTGGATCAAATTTATCTCTACACACATGTGCAGTACACACATTCATTTCACAGAGTATACATCAGAGTCTTTTTTTTTTCTTTCCTTCAGTTTTATGGCACCATGTCACTTCTGTATGTGTTCTATGGCCTTGTGTGGCTAATTGTTTCTGCTTGCCAGTGGAGAGATTTACTCAGAATACAGGTATGGATGCGAGTTTGTTCTCCCTAACGGTTCTACTTAGGTTTTATTAAGAATTGGTTCCCTACACATACACATTTCCTTGTAAATTAGTTTCAAGAATTTGGTGTTAGGTCAAGATAGTACATTTAAGTAGTGTTGTTTGTTTGTTTGTTTTTCTTTCTTATCAATATAATTTTGGTGTTATCATGGTTCCTTTTCAGTTCTGGATTGGAGGTGTTATTGCTCTGGGTGAGTAAACTGTTTTGTGTTCCCTCAATTGAAATTTGAATGAACTTGACACAAACATCTGATTTACAGTGGCAGCAATGAAATTAACTGTTTAAATTCTGTAAAAGAAATAAACAAAAAAAGCGGTACTTCTGTGCCCAACAGGATTCAAACCTGTGACTGTTTAATCCTTGCGCAGTGCTCTAACCAATTTAGCCATGATCCTCACCGCTGATCAGGAGCAACTCTGGTGTACAGTACCGCTCGCGTGTACCGCGTGTACCGCTCGCGTGTTCTGTACTCCCCGTGTGCGTCAAGCATGTTTAACTCGGAGGAATTACACGTGCTTCCATGTACATGTAATGTTGCGGTACACGTGAGCGATAGTGGATACATAAACATATGACCAAAGAATTTACTTACATCGACCGTCAGTGGCTTCGTTATTGTGCTGGCTAGTCATTGGAAAAGAACCGTGAAACCTTGGGTTTAATCCTATTGCAGTCTTCCCTTTTTGCATAATTAAATTATGTGAACATAATTATCCTATTTAGTCTTAACGAAAAATCAATCATACATTTGTCCTTTCTGTAGGTATGCTGGAAAAAGCTGTGTTTTTCTCAGAGTACAATAACATTAACATTAACGGGATCACAAGTAAGTTGCTCTTGTCAACAAATGTGCAACCCGTAGTTTATTTGTGGAAAATATGCTCTTCTTTCGTATTGTCTTTATATCAGGGTATTTCATGAATACTGTATTTATTCCGCAATTTATTTACACCCGTTTGTCTAATTTTCCTGATTATTTGTTGGTAACTTTTCATTTTTTTATTAGACCCAGGATTGACAGTTTTTGCTGAACTTGTGTCGTGTGTCAAGAGAACATTGGCTCGAATCTTGGTCATCATCGTTAGTATGGGATTTGGAATTGTCAAGTAAGTTTGTTTGTTTGTTTGTTTGTTTGTTTGTTTGTACTCCTGCTAGTCTTGTCAGTATATCCTTCTAAGACTCACAGTGCCTCTCTCCACCTCCGTCAGGCCACGGTTGTTCGAAGCTCGAATGACGCTATCCACTGGGTAAATCTTTATCCGGTGGATTGCGCAATACGTTTTGCAATCACTTATCTTCTGGATAGCGATTTATTAGTTGGATACGTTATCTGCCCCTGGGGCGGATCCGGGATTTAGTCAAGGGGGGTTCGGTGGGGGGTTCTGAGAATTGTTCCCCTTCGGAGGGGTCCAAGATTTTGAAAATTAGGTCTTCGGAAACATGATTTGCAGCGTTCTGAGGGAAAATTTAGGGGGTTCAACCAAACCACCCGAACCACCCCCTGGATCCGCCCCAGTGCCCTTTATACAACTGGGCCCAGGACCAGCGAACTGTTAAGGTAACTGAACGAAATCTTGAAGAAGGGGAGCGGGGGTGTGTGTGTCAGGTTGGGCTGGGCTGGGTCTAGGCTGGGCTACGTAATGCAGTAGATCGGAATCCTGTGTGGAGGGCACTAGATATGCTCCTAAAACTCTGACGGGAGGGGCTTGTGACCCGTAAGGTTACTGTACTTTTACTACGTCATTTACTAAAATACCTTCTATTTCGATTGATAACATTTAATAATTTCCTGGTGTCAGACCTAGACTGGGATCAACTCTCCATCGAGTGTTAGGAGTTGGAGCTTTGTACTTCATTCTGGCTACCATCGAGGGATGTTTCAGAGCACTTCGTGTAAGTCTGTCACTAAATTTTAATTTGCTCTAAGAGACCGCAGAACTTTTTTATGAATTTGCTTCTAATTTGAAACCGTTTTGACAGAGTCCGGACGGTTCCTTTTCAGATTTTGGACAGTTTCCTCTGATTTGAATTGTAAGGTATTGTGTGCTTTCGGACCGTTTCGTGCGATTTCAGACACCATCCTTTGTTTTCGGACACTTTCGTCTGATTTCAGACACTACTGAACAATTTCGGACGCTATCGTCCAATCTCGGACCCTTTCGTCTGATTTCGGAGGTTTTTGTCGCATGGAGTTAGATCGCCAAATAGTGTCTGTGAAAAACGTTATTCTTGGATTCCTAACTTTGACGTTATCAATAAATTATCCTTTTATTTACGGGTACTTTCTGCAGCCGAAGTCTGACCCTGGTCGTCAGCAGTTGATCGCCAGTATCCCGCTGGCTGTTTTGGATGCCTCTATCTGCTGGTGGATATTTATGTCCCTGGTTCAGACTACAAGGACCCTTCGCATCAGACGCAACCTGGTGAAACTGTCTCTGTACCGCCACTTTACAAACACTCTTATCTTTGCAGTTTTGGGTACGTTTGTTTGTCTAAGTTTTACAGACGAATTCTTGATTACATTCTCGTTGTCTCCATACTCCTCTTCTCTTTCATCCATGATCTGTACATCTTCCTCTCATTTCTCCCCATCCCGGTCCCTAATCACGTCATCACTGCTCTTTTATTTTCTCCCTCCCTCCCTCTCTTCCCCGTTCCCCTTCCCCTACCTCCCTCCCTCCCTTTCTCGCTCCCTCCCTCCCTCTCTTCCTCCCTCCTTCTTCCCCTACCTCCCTCCCTCCCTTTCTCGCTCCCTCCCTCCCCCTCTCTCTCCCTCTCTTCACCCTCCCCCTACCTCCCTCCCTCCGTTTCTCTCTCTCCTCCTCCCTGCGTCATTTTTCTTCCTCCCTTCACGCCTTTCTAAGTCTTAGCCTCTACCCTTTTACAAATTTCTTCTTTTACTCTCTGTCGTTCCCTCGTTATCTCCTTCTTTCAAATACCACCTCCCCTCCCCTCCCCCTCTGGTCAATGGCTCAGTTCCTTGCCAGCTAGTCGAACCTCTAATCTTTCACGAATTGTCACATACACAAAGTATGACAAGTATTTCGTCTGTTATTCTTTGTTTTTTAGCATCTGTGGCCTACATGATTTGGTCCATCAAGACTCACAGATTTTCTAAGGATGGTTGTATTACGGTAACGATTTCAAATTATGATGGCTCAAAGTTCTTGTCCGACAGGCCCTGGTTATTCAAAGGGTAGATAACGCAATCCACTCGATGAGTCACTATCCGGTGGATAGCGCAATACGTTTTGTTAACAGGTATCTGCTGGATAGCGATGAGTCCATTGGATAGCGTTATCCTCCCGTTAAACAACTAGGCGCAGATAGTAAAAACTCAGCTTTTTTCTCCTAGGGCTAACGAAGGGCTCACGCACACAAACTCAGCTTCAGAAACTGGCCAATTTACATGTCAACTCAGTTGATAAAACCAAATTACTGTATGTTGTAATACCTTTATCTACGCAGCCCCAAAGAAACTGAGGTTTCACAACAGTTTCGTTAGAAACTTACCCCTTGTATGACTTTCCTATAGGATTGGTCTGAGTTGTGGCTTGATGAAGCTTTCTGGCATTTCCTGTTCTCGATCGTGCTGCTTGTTATTATGGTTTTGTGGAGACCTACAGCAAACAATCAAAGGTAAACAATTTTCATTCCCTTGCTAACAAGCAATTTTACAACTTTGCAGTTATTTTTTTTTTGTCGAAAGTAACCCGAGTCTGTTTTGGTTTCGCTTCACTTTGTTCCGTGATTGGTCTAAAAATTGGACCAATCAGATGCAAAACTTAATTCGTTGGGACTTGGTCACTCACTCGTGTGTTCCCGCGCTTGAGGCTACGCACTTTTTTTCACTGAGTTTTCATTGGCTCTTTGTGGCAGTTACCACGTGATTGGTCCAGAAAACTCGCGCCACCTTTTCAACCGACCAGATGCGAGTTTTACAATAAATTGTGACGTGGTTACCCGCGTTTTCCTGGGCTTTAGACTGCATGCTTGTTTCCTCGTTGAGTTCATATTGGCTTCCTGCGCAATTTCCTTTCTCCTGTTTGACTGTCGTGATTCCTATCCCTTTGCGCGTGTAACGGACCCTCGATCGAAAAGCACTTGGTTTCCTTTTCGGAGATGTCAAACGTCACATTGTTGACGCGAAATTTTGAACGACGTCCGAAGAATTCCGAGAATGTTCCGAAGATTTCCGATGGTCACAGATTCGCAGCTAGCTGATTCAATATTTTCTTTGACAGATACGCTTTCACCCCGATCGTTGACTTTGGTGACGAAGAAGATGAAGATGAAAATATGACCCTGTCAGATGCTTTCGGTGAGAGTCGGATAACACTCTAACATCTGATCAATATGCATATTCTCCATACTTTTCTCTGTACATTTCCTAAGATGCTGACAAGGAGAATTTTTAACAATCAAAGAGCTTCTTAAGTTGGTGATCATTTCCTTTCTTCTGACCTTGATGTGTGATTCAGTAGAGATACTGTTAGGAGAAATTAAATTTGCTACAAAGACTATGTGGAACTTGTCCAGCTGGTTATTTTACTAAATACTAGGTATCACTGTTTGTCTTACAATTTTTGGATTGTATGCGGTTTGTCTTTTTCAGGAGATGAGATCAAATAGTATCTCGTCACCTAATGGATGATAAAGCAGTACGCTCTGCTGTGATAGGCAGGGTTTTTCAACAGCTGTAATCGGCGCATTTCGCTATTTTGAGTTTACTATTTGGGTTTTTTTTTTAGGTCCGCTGTGTTGCTAGCTGGGTAAGGGCCAAGAGTCCTTCCTCTAAATTTTTTTTTTTTCAATTTTTGCAGATGGCATGAAGATGAGGAATGTCAAGAATACACCAGAAGTTATCATCAATGGCGACAGTAAAAGAAAACACAAACCCGTAAGATCATGAAAACGTTGTTCAGCGTTGGAATCAAATTGATTCAGCGACAATGACTGTCTGGACAACGGGTAACCAATCTTTTTTTTTTCTTTTGTTTTTTCGTTCAGGAGGATGATCTGAAATGGGTTGAAGAGAACATCCCCAGCTCGGCGGCCGATGCGTAAGTTTCCCTAGAGACTATTATGCAAATATTCGCCGAAAGTGAAATTATTATTTTACAGAATTATGTTTTTGGGATGATAACTCCGGTGTTACCAAGGAGACTGTGGGAGGAATCGTGGGTTGGTGACTAGCGCGGCAGACTCTGGATGGAGAGGCGTGTGTTTGAGTCTCGGCCATATCATTAAGTTGTGTTCTTCGGAAAAATACTTTACTCCCATACTTCCTCTCCTCCGCCCCTTCTCCCCTTAAGGAGTATTAAGGGGTACAGGTGAACTGTCAGTGAAATTTTGGAGGGGGTAGTCGAGGCGAGGGGCGAGGCGAGGGGGGGGCTTACACTGTACTGTCATCTTATCCAGAGGGGAGTAGCAATTCTCCATTTCAAAAACGAGTGGGGCGGTGGGTCGAGCTCGCCACGAAAGTTTGTCTGGGATCGTTACTCGGGACACAAATCTGTAGTAAACAAAGAATTGCGTCCCGAGTAACGATCCAAGACAACCTTGCGTGGCGAACTCGACCCACTCCCCCACTCGTTTTTGAAGTGGGGAATACTCCTGGTCGCTTAATGCTGTGGACCTTGGAATAGGCTCGGGCAGTTTCATATCACCAAGATCGTATCATCGTTTATTTTAATAAAACCTTCAACATTTACGTGATTCGTGTAACTTTCCTTCGTTTAGGGTCTTACCAAGTGTCCTGGACTCAGATGAGGTACGTGACGTTTCCATTGTGTTATTCCGCTCACAGAATCGCAAACTACAGAATCGCAAACAAAAAGTTTCAGTCATGCACGAGAGTGGGACGCAAACAAATTCTGAGTCCCTGGGGAGGAATCAAACCTAATCATTTCGGATTCCGTGCTTCGATGCTCTACAACGGAGCAACAGAGGCTCCACCGTGAGCCAGGTCATTACAAGGTTTATATGTGGCACGCGTCCTGCATATTGCCAGGATCAGGAATGTCTAAAGCCTCGTGTGAGTTTTATGTAAGAGTACGACAAGGATGGTTAATTTTGAGCTCGGTAACAGGGTTCGAAATTAATGCTCGCGAACTCGCAAATTGCGAATGATTTTGATTACCTGCGAGTGAGAAAAATATCCACTAGCAAACGTTTGCGAGTTAGAATCATCCATGTCTCCCAAGCATTTGGAGAAAGCAAGAACACAAGAAAGAATGTACGGGCGACATCTGAGGCAAATAAAACAGACAGACGTCGAACTTTGTGTTAGATACTGGCCAGCGGTATGACACCGGGGCTCTGTGCCACACCTGCGCATTCGCGTGTTGTTGTCGTGGGTTTGGAGCCATCATTATCATTACATATGTCAAAAGTAACTTCTTTCTTCAAGAGTGCCATGGCGGCTAGTGGCGATCAATTTGCTGGTGGTCTCATCAGTTTGCTAGTGGAAAAACATCTTACTAGCAAAACTTTGCGATTGGACCAAAGTGTTAACCTCGAGCCATGGGTAATGAAATAAACAAACGTGTTTTTTGTCTTGTCAAGAGCAATGGACAAAGGAAATTATTCTCAGTCTTCAAAAAGTATTCAATGAGTCTACTTTGTATCCGTCGGATTAAAACATTGTATTCTTTCTTGTTAGGAACTAATGACTACCAAGTTTGAGATGTCCAAAATGGAATGATTTTTCTCCTTTCCACCGAACTGCTAACGCGGTATGTAAGACTGTATGTGACTAGATTACTTGTTTTAGCGCGCAGTTAATCCCTCTTTTATCGTTATTACTCCCAAGTTGTGGATCTTAAATCTCCCTTTTTGCTGCAATACTACTGGAGGAGAAGTCACATGGTTAACGCTTTAGGAGTTGAGGGGTGAACCGCTGTACGTCAGTTTTAGAGCGCATTTTGATTGAGTGTCGTGAAAACAAAGCCAAAGTAATCACAACAGCCAATCAGAAAAAAGGAAAAGGTCACGAGGAGCCAATGGGAAACAAGCAAATTGATTGAAGCGCGGGAAAACGCGATTGACAAAGACCCAGTTGGTTTTCGATTTGAATCTGATTGGCCAAAAAAAGGGCGCAAGTTTTGTGGACTAATCACAGAGTAAAGCAAATCTAAAACAGTCCCGGATTACTTTCGACACTCAATTGAAATTTGCTTCAGACAAACGAATACAGTTGTCATACTGATCAAAACCTCCTTTATTTTCAGTTTCCTCTAAACTTCTCTTCTCAACGCTCAAGATTCAGAGTTCACAATCAAGTTGATGAGACGCGTCATAGTGAAAATGTGATACCGTGTTTTGAGATTTGAGAGGGATTTTTTGTTAAAATAAAAGTGTACAATCAAGAGATCTGGGCACTAAGATCGGTGCTCGTTTCTGCTCTTCATCTGGAGGAAACGAGACACTAGTTCAGCAACATAAGTTTATTTTCTCATTTTCTGGAGGGTTCTAATCAAATCTTGGAAAAGTCAGAACCCGTTTCTGAATGACTTTGCCTTCTTCTTTGTACTTTAAATTTTAGTGCTGATAAGAAAATATCTTATGAACAAATCGATCTAAATTATTGGAATCCAAACGGTCACAGCCCTTTGCGGAATCATCTAACGTGTTTCACTTCAGAGGTTTTTGGAAAACTTCAGTGAAAATTTTGAAGTAGTTTTAAGTCTTACGAAAGCTTTATTTTTCCCTTGATAATGCGCTTCCATTTGTTACGAGTTCTAAGAAAAGCGTATTGCTGTTTTTGATAAATGTCGATCTATTACTTTTGAAAAAATTCGTGGCTTGTGTGACGCGGCGTTTCGTGTTGGCCAAGAGACTTGTCAGATACTTTTAGTTAATTTTAAGCGAACTCGTCGAGCATCGCACTCAAAATATATATCTTTTCTGTTTTGTTTCTTTACTTTAAATTACTGCGTTGTATTCCAAGCTGTTGTATTAGCTCGCTAATCTTTCTCCCTCTGTGGGTACTCCACAAGATTTCTATATTGTGTGGTTTGGTCACATGTTCATTTTGAATCATTTAATATATAGATTTTAACGGTAAATGTAAATCCATTCACTCACTGTCGTGAATTACAGTTGCTTCGGTCGAGTTTACAAATGTCTCGCTCAAACTTAAAAGTGTCAGTTTTCACTCGTGCAGTCTTTGGAAGAGTTCATTTGGTTGTTAACCGTAAATGGCAACTTTTAATTTAAAAAAAAAAAAAAAATAGAACACGTAAAATGTAGTATACAATCTCATCAATGGTTCACTCTTTACTACGGCCAACAGGCATACTCGACCACGATTGGTCAAAACTTTAAGCCAATCGGAATCGTCGTCTTTGGACACGTTCTTGTCTAATTCATTTTCTGAGGCAGAGAGAAAATTGCCTTTAACGGACGTAAAGCATTAAAATAAGAGTTTGTCAGGTCAGGAAAATACCAGAGATTCAAAATTGAACAAAAAAAAGATTAAAGATGGACAAGGATATAGAAGATTCAGGCGGATTGCAGTTTTCAAACTTAAAAACTTAACTCAAACCTTGCCATAACGAGTTTAACTCAGGAACCGCATCAACTCGATTTCACTTTATTTGCATTTGATTGACATATTCGCCTTACGAACAGTCGTGTCCAGTACCCCCGTTTACCGATTAATTATAATCCTTGGTTCACTCCAAATCGATATGATCGGTTGTCATTGTAGTTAATGCGGGATTAATTTAAATCAGTTCTGACGCAATCCAGCTTAGATGATTAGGTACCGCTAAGAGCAATTATGAACCTGATTCTCTCTCCATCGATGACGATATTTTGAAAAATAAAATTATAAAGAAACAAGTTATCTGTAAATATTCCAAGTACTTAGTAGAAATTGGCACATCAAAATGAATTTTGTCCCAAATACAAATGAATAATACGTGGAAGATAAATGTTTTCATCGCGCACGACAGGGTTACATCATCGAATGTGTGTTCGCCCTTGAAGTCGTTAAATGCGGAGTTGTGGATTGAACACATACTTAAACTATGGTCTATGACTCGGCACAAGTGTGTGTGGATTCTTGCAGATATTTAGCGAATCAAAACTTTCACGCCTTTTTTTCTCTAACACGATAAATTAATAACGATAATAGTTTTTGCTTACTGCATTTAAATTACTCTTACAGGGTTTTTTTGTCCGTCAGCATTTAGTGCTGAGAAATTGTTTTGCAAATATATTTTAGCTTTCAGAAGCCTTTGTATTTCTCGCTAGATGTGTTGCTCGATAATAACTACAATTTCATTATCTACGCAGAAAAGCTCCTTTAAATACGTGACAGTTTCGATTAGAAGCTGTGTTCTTTTTAAGGTGTGTTAAGTATTTCTATTAAATAGTTAAATCATGCCTTTGGTTTCAGATAGTTTGAAAATATAAATTACTAGTTAAAGAAATAGTGCGCAGAAGTGCTTGTGGACGATCAAATTAGATTATTGATTATCTTTTGATTGTTATTGAGTCAGACTGATAGTCTAGTAGTCGTCTGTTTAGGGAATCGTAATATTTGTATTATTTTAAGATGTTATCAGTCAGGTTTAATAAATTTGTTCGAAGCCTTCATTTGTAGTTTGTTTAATTGAAGCCTTAATTTGTAGTTTACTTAATTGAAGCTTAATTAATTTGTTGACAAATTTATTTTGCGTGAGGACCTCGAGAGTCCGTTCTGCATCTTAGATGGACCAGAGCGATCCCTGGCCACTTATTTCAAACCTAACTCAAGAACTCTCCAAAAGGCCTTATTATTAAATACCTTATTATTTCGAGTGTACAATTAGGCGAGAGTGAAAACGTAAGTCAAATGGTGTTCGTAAATAGGTTAGATGTTTTGATTCTTTCTTTTTTTTTTTTCTTTTTTTTTTCGTGTGTGCGTGGTGGGTGTGGGTGTGTGTGCGAGCGTGCGTTCGTGCGTGTGTGTGATCAACGGCAGCGATTTAGGGAAAGGGAGAGATACTTGCGAGGAAGGTGCATAAGGAAGAGTCTTGCGTGTTTGAAGAACAGGCATCTTTGCCTTAACATTTTATTTATTCAGTATGAAATTTAGGCTTGACTACAAGTTAACGCTTAATGAACTTTGATTCCAAAACACGCTGGACGTGAAGCAACGACTCTGACTATCTTTAATCACAGCCTTCGCAAAGCTGCAAACGAACCTGATCCCTCGGAACGCTCGTCAGGGTCCCCAGAGGCAGCTTCTTCGTCCTGTACTTCTCTCCCGGATCCGTGTCCTGAGGTATCTGCGGCCTCGTCGTCCAATACTGCAAATCTATCATTGTCGTCACAAGTGTATGCGCAACATATGATACTACTAGAGTAGTGGACGTCCTTGCAGTGCAGACTGGTGTCACCGAAGCATTTGGCATAGCGGAAACAGCTTCCCACGCGAGAGCACTTCAACTTAGGGTCACGACATTCTGCGGACATTTGATCGAGGTCTTTGGCCCCAGGACATAACTTTTTGTCGACCAAAGGTGTGGATCGTCGTCGAATTCGATTGCCTGTTTCTGTAAATTAAGAGCTTTTGTTTTTAAGGGATTCATTTTAGAGCCAACGCGAACGGCAAATAAGGTCAAGAATTTCTCTTCAGCTGTCCATCCATCTTTTATCTGTTTGTACACAAAATTACTCACGTTTCCATCAGTGCGTACTCAACAGTTCGCATCAAGTTAAGGCAGATTGAACGGATAGGGCCAATGTTAAGTTTAGATAATAAAGGAAAAGGGTGAGAGGACGCAGTGGTCTGCGTCGCGATTTACGGGAAAGAGAGAGTGCTTGAGGCTGAGCGAGATGGGGTGGAAACTAACACACTCGAGAGGACGCCCCGTCTTCTGCTTCCATCTAGAACCTGGGGGCATCCTCATTTCCAGTGCCTTCTTTTTGAACGGTTGTCAAACGACCTTTACAGCAATTTTCTTACCCTTAGTTTGAATTTCTGTGACCCTCAGGGATTCTTGCATTTTTTTCACCCTGTACATCTTATACTGAGCGCAAAAACTGTCTGCCTCTTCACCGAGAGCTGAGCGATCGGTTACTTCCCCATCCAGAATCCATGTACTGTCTTCCCGGCTGGTCTCTGTTATAATCGTCTGATAATAAAATGAACAAAAACGCGGAATGAGTGTGAACTGGAGATAAATAATAGACCTCCGCTGTGCCGGATCATCAGTTGCTTCGAAATAAAAACAGAATACTTTTTTCACTTCAATTAAAATGTTTTAATGGCGTACTTCAGAAAATAAAAAGATAAGCCTTTCTTTCATTGTTCCTGTGCCAGTTTATAAAGAGTGGTTTTATGCGCTTAATTTTACTTGGAGAAAAACTGCAGTAGAATTTTTAGAATATTAGTTTATAAAGACGTGTTTTAGTCAGCGATGCTGCATTGCATTTCAGCGCATCGGATCCGTTAGTAGTTCTCTCTTTTAGCCGCTTGATGGATGTAATTTTGTTGAGAAAATTTAATCGTCAATTTTTATCGAAGCGTTGACTTTGCAAGGCGTAAAAAGAAAAATTCTCACTTAACCAGAAAGCTTTCTCACCTTCTCAGCTCTCTTTAGATCTTTTATCAGCTTCTTTGGCCTCGATTGCTGTTTCACGAGAGGAAACAGGTAACAAATCTTGTTTTCCGGGAATCGTAGCAGGGTTAAACGCTGAAACGATGAACAAATTGTTAAAGTTAGATTCAGTCTCAGTTGGTATGGCTGACACTTTACCAAGGGACTGGTGAAGTGGCTGAATTGGATTCCCTCCCTTCTTTGCGCGCCTCTTTTGTCTCCTTCCCTTGTTGCGAATGTAGAAAAGTAGTAAATAATATCTCTGATAATCTACTCGTAACCACTACGCAAAGAAGCCTCTATTATAATCGAAGTTACCAGATAGTCTTGTCATTACTGCTCAATCGATTAGGAAGCTATGACCCAAGCCCCTTTTTATTTTGAGTTCTGAACTTGAGCAGAAAGTCAATTGTAGAAATATAAGAGAAAGATAAGAAAATTATTGACAAGTATGAGGGATAACTTAGTGACCAGTTATTATTTTGGAGTGGGGGGGTGGGGGGTGGAGATTTGGAATGTATCCAACTCCCTCATAAGACTGTAACAATCTAATGACCCCCCTCGTTGGCAATCAATTTTCTATGGTCACCACATGGAACTCTGTTAGAGACGAATGATCCTCCCCACTTTCCCCTTGAAAACCATTTGCCCGTCCCCTCCCCCCTCCCACACAAAACAATTCCTCCAAACCTTTCCGCCAGGTAATAAATAATGCCGGACTGGTCCTTAGAAAGTTTAAGTTCTGATCGTGCACTTGAATCAATTGTAAACATATGAGATATCGGTGAGGAAATTGGAAAAAAGTATGAAAGATAACTTACGTGTTTGAAATCGTGTAACACATCACTGCGATCCACACCAGGATGAGATGGAACTTGAAACAATTCCGTTTGCTTCTTTTCGTTCACTTCGATCCTTTCCATGTATTCTTTTCCAGCCTCGATAACATCAACCGTGAAATCGACGACCTTGGTAAGTAAATCAGTTCATAGCAAACAGTAATGGATTATTATTGAACTAAGTCTGAAGATTTTTTAAAAGACGCTTTATAAAAGGAAACACAATTGAGAGACATACACAAACAACATCGAAAATTTACCTGTTTGCGAGAGAAGTTAAAATGCCCGTAGCTTTTGCGAACAGGGTTACCGGAGGTTGCGCTCATCAGGAGAGCTAAGGTGACGAAACCGAACTTTGCCATTTTCTCAGAGAGAGGGTAGGATGGAAGACTTCCTGACAAGTAAAAACAAAAGAGATAAAAGACATGAGATTGGGAGAGAGAGAGAGATAAATCCTGTGCCAAGCGTGATGCAAGTAACTGGGTCAGGAGAAGACGATAACCAATTAAACAACAATAATAAAAAAAAACATATGTTTCCTCTTTAATTCAAAGCGGAAAACGGAACTTCGTCTTTAATTCAAGACAAGGAAAAACTAACCAAGTAAACGGATTTTCGTGCCAGAAATTACAGGAAGCGCCAGAAAGTCAAAATTTTGAACCGTGGGAAAAATTTTAGTATAAGAAGCCTGACAGAGAAATACATGTACCATCTTTCGTACGCATCATTCACAAGCTGGATGGAGTTTTTTGTGAAGATGATTTCTACGATCAGAGATGCTAGCTAAGCATGCAGACTGCCAGACAAATTACTCGAAACTAAAACCTGGGTGTGCAAATTTCAGTTCGTTTTTGAAATCGAACTTGTTGATAGACGGTTATTTGGCGTTACTAACATCATTTTTTAACTGACTGCGACCGCAGTGCAATTAAAAGGAGTTTAAGCTCTTAAATTATTCCCTCGGCTCCAGCATACTACCATTTTAACAACTAGATTATGCCATTTAAATAACAGCTTATGAGATTTAAATTATATTATGTTATTAGATGTTAGTCAGTCCTTGCTTCAAATAGCAGACATGCAGCAGCAATAATGAATTAATTAATAAAGACATAGATAAACCAAACGAATAGAAACACATTTGTCGTAGAGCAAGGGCAATTTTAAACCAGGAAATTTGTAATTAAATTTATTCCGAGTTGAAAAGGAAGGGAAACCAGTCTAACCCTGCCTCGGAAAACAAGAGTTAACTTACCTCGCCCCAGTATAGTCTCACAGAAAAAGGGTGAAACAGCGGAGAAAGAAAGCGGAGAGATAGCAGGACAAAAAGATAATAAACTGTATACATAAAATTTAAACAGAGATTAAAATAACATCTATGTACCTTCGCAAGGAGAAGCTCTTCTCCAGAATCCTGCTCGACTCTTGCTAGGTCAAAAATACAGGCTATATTTATACTTGATAAGTAAACATGATAACAATATTCAGTAATTTTAGACCGTTTTGAAAGGAGGAGTTTCCTGTTATTCATGCAAGTGGAATTCAGAGTTCTTGTTTTCCTCATTTTTTAGAGACTTCGATCCGATTTGCGGTTAATCGAATCTTCAGTAGTTTTTATCTAAACCTTAATAAGTTCTATGCGTTTTCTTTAATAGAATCTATCACTGTTTTAGAGCAAACAATGTCCCTGTCAGCACAGGAAAGCGTAAAAAAATCTCAGGAAATAGTAAACAAAAGATATGAGAAACGCATTAGCAAATTTGATTAGTCCAAAGTACATTGATAAGTGTCGAGTATTGAAAGTACTGCCTGAGATCTGCACAGAGAAAGAAAGGGCTGCGGACTTTTCGAAACGATACCCGCCCCCTTGGGAACGAAAGTCAAGTTGAAAAACAGGAAACTGAAACGGTGTTAGGCTCGCTTTAAGAACAAAGGATCATCAGGTGGGGACTAGCAAACTGCATTCTCGAAATTTTACGGAACTTGTAATATGAAGCGGTTATTGTGCTTTTGATTGTAGAGAAAACCATGGGCAAGTAAAGGTCAAACAACGGTTGTCATCCGGCCAAAGAGTTGCAAGAACATACGATGAAATCAAGTTCAGCGAACGCGCTCTTTAAATGACATTCATGAGAGATAAAACAAAATAACCGTCTTTTGTTCAAATGAGTAAGCTCCAACGGGCGATGACAAAACGCAGAGCCCTATTCCAAGGAGTACCCTATGGAGTACCTTAATTGAGTACCCCTAAAGGTCATGTATTGGTCAAATAAAATATTTTAAAACATGGTGAATCGTTTAGATGTACATATCCTAAAATATTTTGAGCTTACCAGCTCTTCGAATGCCTCAATTCGATACAGTCCAGTTTTTTGGGGGACAGGTGACTAGGGTTCTCAGTCTTACTGGTTTCTCCATTTTGGTTTTACTGCTGTGTAATGAGTCCTTTGATGAGAAGAAAAACAACTCCATGTGATGAACAAAACCCACTGTTTCGAATTCTGCACGAGGTAAAATATTTAAGCTTACTGCATTTCCCAAATCAACGGTCTCAGTCGGATTTATTTGCCGACCCGTCTCTGTTTTTTTTGGTTTGTTTACATACCTCAATTTTATTGCGCTACAAATAGATGGGTGAGGGGAGGCTCATTTTAAAGATATGGATTACCTTTTTTAAGTCTCAACCTACAAATGTAAGTTTGTATCCTCATCGCTTCGCACAATTAAGAAACCAATGAGGCCGTGTGTTATTAGATGGAGCGCCACACTTCTTACAGACGCCACACACAAACAGGTATTTTGGAAGACGTAAAACCCGTTGCAGAATGAAGGATGTCCGTCCTTTTGGCCTCTTGAAGATCATTTAAAATTAGATGGTAGTCGGCCTATTACTGATAACGTTCATGGATGCTAGCTACATTAAAGCTTTCCGTTGGAATTGGTCAACAGTTTAGTGTTAATTTCAAGATGGCGGTCAATTCGTGTACTACATCGGACTGCGACAATCGGAGAGCTGACAAGCTCAACATATATCAGGATGTGTACATCTAAACGATTCACCTTGTTCATAAAGTATTTTATTTGACTAATACATGATTGGGACATTTCGCCGTTTTGCATATTGAGTTTCTCAGAAACTTAAAAATATTCCGGAAGTCGTAGGAACTGAAATGTCATCAGTACAGCTTCAATAGAAAGTTCAATGAGCTGAAAACTATAGGAAGTCTTTAATCATTTCCGGAACAACGTTGCTGCGCTCGCATGAAAACTTACCATGTAATCACATGAACGCCATCTGTCCGATGCTTCAGCAGGATGAAAACTTGTCCAAACGCCTCAAACTCACAAGTTCGTTCTGAGCTTCAAACACCGAAATTGAGGATTGGCTGATAAAAAGTTACGATGCAGAGATCTTTCTGCCGCTCGAGTCGACAGACTATATTTTTCTGATGGGGAAATGCTACAATGACCAGCTTTAAATCGTCAATATTGATATCGCAGGAAAATTATGAAAAGAATGGTTGACTTGATAATCCGTTTAGATGAACATCCTGTATCAAGCTGAGAGGCATGTTTCCTGCATGAGCTGGTCCGTTGATTAACGATTTCACCGTAGCTATCGTTCGAAGCATATGATTTTACAGAATCATTGCCGAAACTATCCGACTAGGATGACAGATGTAAGCAGGAGTTGTAAATTAAAAAACCTAAGTTGTTTACGAGCTCAAAAGGAAACACAGAGTTTTGTTACCGAGTATTTGTAACAGTGCATGCATGACTCCCAGGCAGCGCGATAAAATATTGCCAAGGCCCTTGTAGGGTGCGAGAATTACTCTCCTTCTCAGTCCATCTGTGAATTGTCGAGCAACTCTCCCACTCATAACCCCTCCCCCTCCCCCCCCCCCACAAAAAAGGTTGGGCGTGGGACTGGCATGATATCCCTTTATTGTAGAATCGAATCATCATGCACAACCGGCTGAAAGCAATAGCCCAAGAACACTGGGGGTGGGGGCGTGGGACTGGCATGATATCCCTCTATTGTAGAATCATCGTGCACATGTCTGAAAGCAGTAGCCCAAGAACACTGGGGTGGGGGTTAGGAGAAATGTTTACAATGGTAAGTCCTCGCAGAGAATCGCTATCCATCGTATACCAAACATTTTTGATATAACAACAAGCGACAAATATTACTTTGAATACATTTGAAAACAGCTGAAAACAATAGCATAATAGCTCTCTCTCCACTTTAAAGTTCTAGAAACTAATTTTTATTCTCGAAGAAAAAAAATTACACGAGTGATTGAACTCTCTCATAGGAATGAATTCTGTTACAAGCGAAGTAAACTCGATAAGTGTCTCTGTGGCGGTTTTAACAGAGACATAAAGCTCAGATTGTGTCTCCCCCGGCTACCTTAACAATTACTGTAACACAGCAGAAGTCTTCTTGTAAAGGGTAGGGGGGAATATCGGGGTTGTAACTCACATCTTTGGGATGTCACACAATACGGAGCGTGACATCCCAAAGAACGGTCAGGGGGGAGAGAGACTGAAAAGAGGATGGAGAATCAACGTTTTATAATTGTTTGAAGCTAAACCATCTGGTTTTCGCTGTATCTTCAGGAAATGAAATGGATATCAAGTTTGTTTGAAGGCTAAATTCTGCCTTGGCAAAATAACCAGTAGGCATTTTCGTAAACCTTACCAACACATAGTTTATGGCCGACTATTTAAAAACGCCCCAGCAAAACTGCGAATTCTTCGTTTTCCACTGTTTCTGTGGTTGGGCTAATTGGTGTAGTTGGTTCATCTTCGTTTTCCACTGTTTCTGTGGTTGGGCTAATTGGTGTGGTTGGTTCATCTTCGTTTTCCACTGTTACTGTTGTTGGGCTAATTGGTGTGGTTGGTTCATCTTCGTTTTCCACTGTTACTGTTGTTGGGCTAATTGGTGTGGTTGGTTCATCTTCGTTTTCCACTGTTTCTGTTGTTGGGCTAATTGGTGTGGTTGGTTCATTTTCAATTTCCATTGTTTCTGTTGTTGGGCTAATTGATGTAGTTGGTCTATCCACCTTATCACAAACGTATTTGCAACATTTAATTACTTTTCTGGTGTCGTGCTCATTCCAACAGCGAGGGCGTGGGCGTTTCACTTTCTTCTGTTGTTTTCTGCTTGCGGGTGGAACATAACGCAGACGGTACCCTCCAAGCCAACCATGATAACCACCATAACGACCAAAGGGACCGAAAATTCCCCATAACGAACGTCGGACACGTCTCTTCTCCTCTCTACATTTTTTAATCTGGAAACACATGTTGGTGCTCACGCATTTCATTTTGGGTTCGGAACATACTTGCAGGGCTCTATTCAGGTCCATTCCTCCGCGGCACAGTTTAGTACCATTCAGAGCACTGCCGGACTGACGTCTCACCCTATTTGGCAATGTTCCGCCTGAGGGAGATGAAGCATGCATATTTGTTTATGATTGTTTTTGTTTCTGTTCTTCTATTTATAAGGTGGAATAGCTTGAAAATTAGTTTTAGCAAAGCTATCTGTCTGTCTGTCCATCTATCTGTCCATCGGTTTCATAACTTTCCAAGCTTTTGAGTAAAGGTTTCTTGGGAACAGAAACCATTTTTTTGTGTCGTAAAGCTGTGCGTGAAAATAAGAGGTCCAAGATCTTATTAGTAATTCTCCTTGCTGTCTGCCATGCGGAGAATTTGGTATTCGATGTTGTTCTTTATTCTCATCGCTTGTCTACTAAATATTGTATTGATTTTGTAAGGAGAAATTCTGTCTTGATCACTCATGGGGGTAAAAGGGTTAAAGTGTCATTTATGTCTCACCTTCTGTTTGTTCAGCGGTCACCTGTTCCCGTTTTTCAGTCACGTGGTATATCGTGTACTGAGCGCAATACTCGTTCAACTCTTCACCGAGCGATGATGGATCAGTAACTTCTTCATCCAAAACCCACCTGCTGTACAGACGCCTTGTCTCTGTAACAACCATCTGATGGAATGAATTAACAACGAATCACTTAGACAAGGAGCAAAATAAACCTTAGCTTACCCCTTTAGATTTAAAAAATTTCCTTCTAAAGTGAGTATTTCTAGGACTGTTACGCACTCGTATTATATTGTGATTTCTGGGAAATTAATATTAACTGCGCATCACCAAGTTTTGTGCGAGATGAAAAAAAAGCGATCTTGCACCTACTTCCAAGAACCTCAGGGCAAATTTTTGTACTTAAGGAACAAAAAGCAAATTTTTTTCCCCTAATGAGTTTTTTCCATACACTATTTGGAAAACGTCGTCTTCTTACTCACCTCCTGGGTTGTCTTAAGATCTTTCATTAGTTTCTCTGGCGTCGACTGCCGTTTTACGAGAGGAAACAGGTAACATACTTTACTTTCCGGGAAGCGTAACATGGTCAGATTCTAAGAACATAAACAGAAAGAGGTCACCATAGTAAATAAAAGTGAAAGTTCCGGCTCGTGGCATCATCAGTTTCTATCTGACTTGTATTAGACCTGTACTCGAATATTGTGCTCCTCTTTACCATCATGTACTGCCTGATTATTCAAGCAACGACATAGAATGTGTTCAAAAACGCGCGCTATCTGTAATTTCACCTGGCCTATTATATCGCGACAACCTTTCATTGTTTAACCTGAACTCGCTGAAGGATAGACATATCGAGCAATGTAATAAATTTTTGAAATCGATAGTGTCCAATATCGAGCACAAGCTTCATTTTGTGCCACCAAAGAAACCATAGCACTTATAATCTTAGAAATCAACACCAGTTTGGTTAACCCAACAATGCCCACCAAGCGTTTCTCCCAGACATATTTACTATCCATGTGTAAACGGTTCTGCGTTTTAATTTTGTAAATAATATGTTCTGTAAATATAATTTGTAATTTTAGTCAGTTTTTATTGTAAATAGTCATGCAATTCAGCCTTCCTAGGCTGCCATGTGATTTTTGATAAACCTATCCATCTATCTATCTGGTGAAGGATTATGATCAGTTAGCTGTAAATTAAAATAATGGAGGAGTGAGACACAGGTTTGGAAAAAAACATCGTACGTGCCAGGGTTCAAACAAGAAAATATCAAGATTACTAGAAATATGAGACAAAAACGAAATACTGTAGAGGAATTTGACCAGAGGTTAATCGTTTTTTCTTGAAAAGATTTCGACGCAATCGCTCAACCTTTATCAGTCTGTCAGAAACTCAGTGGGCGGGAATGACTTCATGACTTATGCTGACTACCTCTCTGCGCCATTTGTGCAATAAATCTGTCCATGAGTTCTCTAAGAAATATTTCCTTTTAATGAGATAAGCTTAAGGGTTAGACATTAATAAGTAAGAGAGATAACTCACGCTTTTGAAATCGTGTAACACATCGCTGCGATCCACACCAGGATGAGTAGGAACTTGAAACAATTCTGTCTGTTTTCCAAGGTCCACCTCGATCTTCTCAGTGTAGCCAATTCTACCCTCGATGATATCCATACTAAAATCCACAACCTTTTTGAATTAAAATAACAATTTATTCTTGGAAAGTTGTCAAAAATTCTTGACAACTGGGTCAGCAAAGACAAAGAGGGCACCCGTGAATTCAGTAAGGGTGACAAGTAACATTTCAACAGAACTTACTTCTTCTTTATTCCGTCGCTGATCATTGGTAGGGCTTGCAGATGATAAACTTAGGACAACAACAAGTACGACAGGGAATAAAAATGAACCCGCCATATCTGAACCTAAGATGCAGATTGAAGTTCCGGCCTGTTTGGAGAAATATACGGCATCTGGTAACAAGACTCATTAAGGCTCAAGAAACATTTTATAATGCAACTGTGCAGTCTTTGATTTCAAAATTTTCCCTTCTACAAGGAATTGGCTTCGTGGATTAAATTCTCCGCGAAGCATTGATACGCTACTGATGTAGACAGCTCATGAAAATAAAGAAGACAGATATCAACCCAGAGTAAATTCTTCAGATACCACTCTAAATTGTTTAGGACAAACCAACAAAGTTCAGTAAATTTCTTGCGGATCTGGGAGGTTTTGGTTAAAAACATTTGAAGTAAATCGAGAGTAAACCATATGTCAATCAAAAGTTCTTATTCAGATCTCACAAAGCTAGTTTAAACCGCTCTACTACAAACACAGTTAAAGGAACTTAAAAAAGCAGATCAAAGAGCTGAGAAATTTTCATCGTCGCAAACTGATCAATTGAAATGTGGCAATTTGAATGAGTTTCGGAATGATTTATCGTTACTCATCAATAAGGTTGCCAAGTTAAGACGGAAATAGCATTCCGAGGCTAACATCATACAGATAGGCTAACATCACATCACATGAAACTTAACTTCGATTATGAATTAAAATTTTCGAATTAGTTGTAAACATACAAACTACAATAAATCAGTGAAATAAAAACTTACCTCACAACTTGGAGAATTTTGTTCGCTCTACAAACAGGGTGGTTGAAGAGTGAAGTTCAAGTAATACTGCGAGGCTTTTTATAGCACCATCACATGGTTTACAGCTTCCGTTATCGGTCTATGTAATTATACTACCTGACAAAATCTGATATCCTCAGAAATGAGGCGCCACGATAAAATATTTATGTCCAGGTCTGCGACATCATTGTTCAGTTACAACGATATCAGAAAACTGGGCGATCGAGAGTTAAATGCAATTAATCAGCAGCTACTAAGCTTTATCCTCTGAATTTTAAGCATAGTTTATGTGATGAAGAAGCACCAAATCCCTTATATTATTAGGAAAGGCCAAGTCACGTGTTTCCTAGTAATGAGCTTCCTGTTTTTTGTGGTCGTCTTTTGTTGTTGATTGCGTGGTCAATTCTGGTTCACCTCAAGTGACCTTATAATCAAAACCAGGTTTCAGGTTTCAGGACGTAACAAGTACATTATGCTCGCTTGGCTGAGTCACGTGCGTTGTCTGGGAAAGGTTTCAGCATGTCACCATATGTTAAAATGTAGTTCTATTTTAAAAAGAGGGTTCGTCTATGAGCTCGATATGATCAAACGCAGCCGCTTTTTACCCAGGAATTTGCTTTTAGACCTATATTTTAAAGTCCTTTTACCCTCGGTCACATGTGCGCTACCAATTTGGGGGTGTTGCACAAATAAAAACGAATTTAATTCTTCGATGATTCATACATCTTAGGGCCGCCAGAATTATAGATAACCTCCCGCGCGACATGCCCTCTGAGGAAGTAAGAAAAAAGTTAACTGGGACTATTCAGATTGGACACTTATAAGGTCAAAAAAGCCACCTTAATTTATAATATCTACAACCGGATAACTCCATCATGCTTGGAACATATAATCCAAAGGAAAGAGACTAAATATGACCTCCATCATCAACATCGTGTTAGCGTACAACGTTTTGAAACTTGTTATATGAAAAACTCTATTTCTCACAGAGGATCCATCGTTTGGAATATTTTAGAACCATCCGCTGGCAGCGCCAGGGACTAAACCAAAAGGGCAAAAAAGTCTCGCCCCCTCAGAAACTTTAACTTTAATGAAGAGTCACCGCAAATGGGCCGTCCCCAAATTGACAGGGATTTCGTCTTTTACTGACTATCTTCATATCTTTATTGTACATATTTCACTTTTACTAACTGGTCCTAACTACTTCCAGTTTTAATAATTTTTAATTTTTTATTATTTTATTAACATTTCTACACGGCCCCAAAGCTATATTAGCTTAAAAACCCACCGTGTTGAAATAAAAGATGTTGTTTTTGTTGCATCTGTAGCCTTCAAATTTACGTAACGCTTCGCTACATAAGCGCGAATCATCATCTCCATAGACTGCATATTTGTGTCAAAGCTTGTGTCAAATTAAGCTTGGGGATCATTTTTGATGAAGACACCAAATTGAAATGTAATTGGTTAAAATCATCTTTTTGCCCAAGACTTATCTGAATGTTTTTACCGACAGACCTTCTATTCTATTTTCTCTCGATTTTATCGTGTGTACGAAGGTGTTGCACACAACGACTCTTCTTTCGGTTGGCGTGAACATAGCCTACGTTGAGACAACCTTTCATTAATTTGATATTGAAGAAAAAAAGAAAGAAAAAAAAGTGGACAAACAGAATCGGTTTTCGAGTTCCATACCCACGATGGATCCATGCTAAGATGAACTTCTAAGGGATACCAGAAAATTTGAGCTCGCAAGCAGAAATTTATTTCTAGGAAATTAAATAACTTTAAGGTCGAATTAACAGGAAGTTCCACTTAAAAGAGAACGGAAACACAATGTTCTGCTGTAATGAAAAAGTCCACGCGTTGGCGTACTCTGACCTCCTGAAACCTTTCTCAGAAAACGTTCGTGATTCATATGATGCCAAGGGAGGATAATTCACTCATCACATCCTTAAATTAAGAAGATAATGAAATGGTTTTATGTAGAAGGTCATTTGAGGTTAACCAGAATTGGTTAAGTAAACAACAATCGGAGATCGGCTACACTGAACCAAAAATACAGGAAGAGCACATTACTTAAAATCGCGTGGGTTGCCTTCGCTTAGGTCAACGGTAAAATCGCCCTGGACCTAAGCCCCCTTGATGCACTTGATGTAGAATATTTTTGTCCTATTCCATCGCCTAAAACAAACGTAACCGTCAGAGAATGAAGTTTAGTGATTGTGTTATTAAGTACATTTAACTCGCAATCTCCTCCAGTTCTCTCAGTGACCTTGAACGTAGTAGCGCAGACCTGATATTTCATCTTGGCGCCTTCTTTCAGCGGAAATCAGTTTTGTATTATTTCATTACATAAACCACAGATATAAGAGGACAAAACATGAGACGGTGCTAATAAAAAGCCTTGCATTATTACCGAAGCTTCACTCTCCAACCATTCTGCTTGTCGAGTGGAGAGAATTCTCGCTGTTGGGGGATAAGTTTTACCGCAGTTTGCAATTTGCACCTCATTCGCCAAATCGAAATTCAAACTTCATGTGCAGGGGAAAAATTATTCAATGTTCTATATAATTTAAACCTTGGAATGCTATTTCCACCTTTAATAATGGGAACTTTACTGATTCGTTGCGATAAATCATTCGGAAACTCATTTTTTTAAACCCATCCGGCGGTGAGCCTCTCATAAACTTAGTTTGCTCTCGATTAACTCAAAATGTTTCAAACCAAAACTCCTCAGCTATGACCAGCTCTCAATCGGCTAAGTTGGCAGATCTATAGCACTGCATTGGTATCGCGGAGGTCTTGGCCTCAAGTCCCGTACAGGCCTGATCACGAATTTTTTTCAGGCCTAATTTTTACGACTGCTTAATTAGTGCTCATTTCTACGAGGATCGCTTTCTACATTTCTTAAAAACTGCAGTGCACATATATGATTTTCATATGATTCTCAGTCAATTATTTCACATTATTGGTCAGTCCTTGTACTATTAAAACAATGCGCTCTTGTTCGCTCTAAGTTAACGAAAATTCCCGATCTTTTCTTATTATCTGTCTGTCTCATGAGTCTACAAAAACTTTACGGAGAATTTAATCTCTGATTAATCGTAGGAGTGAAAACTCCCAGTTTAAAAACGCTACGGTTGCCACTATAAAGTGCTTCCTAGGAATCTGTGAGTCCGATCACCCGAATGCCACATTTTTTTCTTAACAGGAACTTCTGCATATTCTGTTCCAATGATGGCGAGTTTGTCTTCATTCCTGGTTGTATTTGTTGTCCTAAGTGTTTCATCTGCCAGCCCTGCTCAGGCTAGTTATCAGCGACGGAAGAAGGAAAAAGTATGTCTTCGATCTAATTTACCTGTTATATAATTAAGTGAATCCTCACCTGTCCAGCTCATCTGGTCATTCAATAATTTAAAACTGATTTGAAAATTGTCAAAGTCGACTAAAGTGTAATTTTTGATCCAAAAAGGTCGTGAATTTTAACATGGATGTCATCGAGGGTGGAATTGGCTACACTGAGAAGATCGAGGTGGATCTTGGAAAACAGACAGAATTATTTCAAGTTCCATCTCATCCTGGTGTGGATCGCAGCGATGTGTTACACGATTTCAAAAGCGTGAGTTATCCTTCTTATTTAACAACGTCTATAACCCTTTACCTTATCTCATTAAAAAAGTAAAGATTAAATAGCGTATTCATTGGCAGAGTTAAAGCGTAAACAATTCAAAAGAACTCATACTTAATACAATTCAAATGGCGACGTCTCAGTTAGAGATCAATTAACAAAAGTCTCCCCTTTTTCC